AAAAAAAAAAAAAAAAAAAAAGGGAATGAATTAAGGTTTTTTTTCCTTCTACTGCTATACTACGCCTCGTACCTTGTAGGGACTCAAATCACGATTGTTTGTGGAATGAATGAAGGAGCTTTAGGAGGAAGGTTGGGCTACATGAGTGGAAGCAGATGATGGAGGTGAGAAATGTTCGTGGAGTGATGCTAACTCCCTCCAGGCGAGCCTGGGGCTTCGGTCAAGCCTCAGGGAGTCCCTGATGAATGTCCCAGGAGCAGCACTAGGATGTGATCCCTAGGACAGGGCCTCATGGCAGCACGACGTTCTTGCTGCCCAAGCCCCAGCTTCTGTGTTAGAATGTAGGTACCAGACTCCAGAGACGTCCTGTGGCTTTTCTGGCGAGGCCCGCGGTTGTGGCCCCACTGAGCCACAGGAGCACACTGCTTGAGCAACCATAAGGAACAGTGGAAATGAACACGACTCGGTCACAACAGGTCACAGGTGGTCATGCATGTCAGCCGCAACAGGGAACAGCCTGCCCTGGCTAGCTCCTGTGAGCGTCTGTCTGCAGGCGGGTTAGCTATTACGACCCCTATAAATGACTAAGTTTACTTTGTGGTCTTATCAAGCCTCACCCTGAGTTTGGACTAAGTCAAGTTTTGATGTTTACCTTGGAACACAGCCACAGCACAGTCATCCCATAAGCATTTACTGAGAGCCTCTGTGTCAGGTGCCTTTTGGGTGCAGAAGAGAGACTGGGTCCTCCCCCACAAGCTAACAGAATCATGGACAAGCACAGCATACACTCTCTAAACACTACAGAGAAAACACACTCATGCTTAGTAAAAGATTTATTTTTTTCTTTATGCTCAGAAACAAAGAAACAGCCTTGTCCACAAAGGGTCTCCTCGTGAAGGAATGGGGGCAGACAGAGTGATCATGGGAGGTGTTTGTGTGAGGTTGAGTGGGAGTTTTGTCTCCCTCTTTCCCTCCTGTCACTCCTCTTTTTACTGTCCCCTTCCAGAAAATTTAGGGATGAACACAGCTTGCCACCCACTGCGGGGCTGGAGAAGCAAAGCTGCAGTCAAAAAATTAATGCCCACATTCAGCAAGAGAGGGTCCAGTGCGTATCATGGTGGGGGGTGCGGGGGAGAGTGAAGGGGTTGGTTGAAGAAGCTTCCAGGTGGAGGGGAAGGGAAGAGAGGCTGGGACAATCCCCCAGTGATAGTGGGGATCTTGGTCCTGTCTTCACCTCTTCCAACCCCATCCCCTCCCTTCTTCCTGCCCTGCTTCCTAGCAGAGTTGGTCATCATAGTCGTCATCCTTCATCCCCTTCAGCCGAAGCCGGGCAAAGTCCTCAAACACAATGTCATCATCTGTGGCATAGCTTGGTGGTGGGAAAGAGGGGTGTGAGGTGAGGGCTTCTGATTCTTTTCCTAGCCTCCCACTCCCTGCCCTCCCCCAGGCTGGGCCTCTGGGACAGAGGCGTTCGAACAGCAGTGGGACCAGAGGTATTCACAGGAAGGGACAAAGAAAAGGCAGCAAGAGGCAGCCTCACAAGGCTAAGCATCTTGATTTGGCGCTGCAATCCCCTTCTCACCCCAAAAAGCAAGGAAGAGGTATGACGGCAGATTTGAATGTGACAGGAATCTTTGTTCCAAGAGGGTGAAGTAGGGGAATGAGTTTCTTACTTGGTATCAAATTCAATGAGGTTGGTGTCCACAGGGACGTCTGTCTCCGGAGCGGCTGGGGGGATGGGAAGAGGGGGTGTGGGGGTGGGTGCTGGAAGGGCCAGTTTTCCTCCACTGGCCCTGCTTCAGGCCCTCCCTCTGAGGGCTTGGGGTGGGTGGTGTGCTCACCTGACTGGGGTCTGGGGAGGGGGGTGTGGTCGTGGGGCTTGGGGTGCATAAGAACAAAAGGCAGCTCCACAGAGACATCCCTGGGGAAGGGGAGAGGGATCGTGAAGAGGATGACGACATAGGACTATCGAGAGCCAGTGTGACCCCCACCCAGGACCCCCCATGACACTCACCCGCCTCGAGACACCACCAGCTTCACCTTGACCCTGTAGGACACCAGGATTCCCAGCACCTCCTTGTTGGCACCCTCCTTCACGCTGCAATAGGGGTGGTGGAGTCAGACCAGGGCCCATCACCCTGTCACCTGGCCCACTGTGGGGTTCCCATGGGGCCTCTGGGCAGGACCACAAACTTGCACAGGCCCGCGGGGCCCCAGCAGCCCGGGTGTGCGGTTACGGTACGGTGCGCACTGCACTCCCCGTGCAGAGCCTCCTGTGGTTTCTCTCCCGTAAAAGCTGACGTCCTTCTCCGCTAACAGTACTGCACCGTCTGGCTCTCCATTAGCCCCTGACCTCACCTCCTCCTCCTCTCCTGCTACTTAGTTGCTTTCCGGGCCTGTTGTATGTGGCTGTGCAGTGAGAACCCTGAACAAAGGTACCGGGGAAGGTGAAATCCAGCCCTTCCTGAAGCTGGGGACCTCCAGGGCTGCTCCTGCCCGAGGGCACGATGGCACCTCCCCATTCCTCCAACACTCCAGGCTGCCCCACCTCTGAGTCTTTGTTTTTTCTCTGCCCAGAACTCTCCTTTCCTGCTCACCCATGTTGCTTACTTCCGCTGGGTCCTTACTCCGAATTCACCTTTGCATCTCACTGCGCCCCATCCCTCCCTTCTCTGCCTGGCTTTTTCTCCTTCATACTTGTCACTAAACCTGCCGTACAGTGACCACTGATCGGATTTGTCTAGCCTCCCTCTCCTAGAATGTAAGAGTTCTTTTTGTCTCTTCTGTTCACTGTACCTCCCTGGCACCTAGGATAGGGCCTGGCACATAGTTAGCACTCAACGGTCGTCTGGCCCCTGGCCTGCGGGGGACCCGCCCCAGCCCCAGCCCCACCCTCACATGGTGCTAGAAGCCAGGTTGGTGTCCTCGTGTTTGAGTTTCCCATCCAGGGCGAGACCCCGCTTCTCCCGGTTGTCACTGAGCAGCGGGGTGATGGTGTACACCTTACAGAACGTGGAGCTGGGAGATACCTGGTCACTGGGGGTGGGGACAAGAGAACAAGACACTTCAGGGGGCTGGACTGGGCGGGCGAGGAGCGGCCTATCACCCCCAAGCAGCATCTCCCCTTCACCAGTCCCTTCTCTCTTTGGGCACAGGTCACAAGGGAGTAGGTTGTGGCTCAACGTGCTCAAGAAAATTAGCAGCCCAGAGGTGCCTGGTTGTAGAGGGAATACCCTTTTAAGTGAAGATGGTGGCTGGTCACGGTGGCTCACGCCTGTAATCCCAGCACTTTGAGAGGCCATGGCGGGTGGGTCACTTGAGGTCAGGGGTTCAAGACTAGCCTGGCTAACACGGTGAAACCTGTCTCTACTAAAAATACAAAAAAATTAGCCTGGCGTGGTGGTGGGCGCCTGTAGTCCCAGCTACTCGGGAGGCTGAGGCAGGAGAATGGCTTGAACCCGGGAGGCGGAGCTTGCAGTGAGCTGAGATCACGCCACTGCACTCCAGCCTGGGCGACAGAGCAAGACTCCGTCTCAAAAAAAAAAAAATAAATAAATAAAAATAAGCCAGGTATGGTGTTGCATGCCTATAGTCCCAGCTACTTGGGAGGCTGAGGCAGGATAATCGCCTGAACCTGAGAGGTGGAGGTTGCAGTGAGCAGAGGTTGCCCCATTACACTCCAGGCTGGGCAACAAGAGCAATAATTCCATCTCAAAAAAAAAAAAAAAAAAAAAATAGTGGCGACGGCTCAGGAAGAATTCTTCCCCCACCTCACACTCTGCCGATCCTGCTCTTCTCCCCCAGACTGGGAACTGGGTCTCTCCCGATACTCACTCTTGTTCGAGTTGAGCCACAGGACACTTGTACTGGGCGGTGCTGAAGAGGCAGATGTCGGCGTACTGTCTCACTGTGGGGGGGGACGGGGTCAGGCAGCTCTGGATGGAGCACAAGCCACCCCCACAACACAACTCCAGACCCCGTGGCGTGGCCCCTCCATGCTCCCCCCCGGAAGCAGTAAACACCGAGGCTCCCTGTATCATTCTGGAACAACCTAAATTCTTTGAGCCCTGGTGGGTCTCCCGCCCTGGGAAATGGCCTGGGCTGAGATCACAGCAGGAGCCACCTGTGCAGTAACACCCTCCCCAAAGACCCCCTTCCAGACCCCCCCTCCTACCAGAGACTTTGATCTTCTTGACGGTCTTGGTGGAGTTGTTGGTGACGTGGACATTTACATTGAGGGGCTCCCCATGGTAGTACAGCTTTTGGGGGGAGGGGGTCATATGAATTGGATCTGGTTTTTACTGGTCCCATCATCAGTGTGTCCCCAAACACAACACATTGTTCTGGCCCCCTCCCATCAAACCCAAGCATACGGCAACTCTCCACATCCAGCCAGGGCAACCTCCTTTACAAATGTCATCTTGACGTGTGGCTTCGCCCCGCCTCCCCTGGGTCTAAACTGCACCGTGGCATCCGCGTCACCCTCTCACACCCCACCTCCTTGTCCAGGGAAGCCTCGAGGTGCAGGGACCGGTCAGACATGAGGAAGTGGCGTGTGGTTTCTGCTGAAGGCTGGGGGCCGGGTTTCTCTGGGGCAAACTGCACCTTTCGGATCACCAGCCGCACAGAGTTCCTGGGATGGGGGTGGGGGCAGAAGGGGGTCAATCCTCAGACACCTAGACCCCTACTCCTCCCCCGCACGGGGCCTGGGCTCCTGGAAAGCCTCCTCTTACATCATAGAGGAGGTCGCGTCCCTCACCTTTTGTGGCTTTTCTCCTCTAGTGATTTAGCACAGAAGGCTCGAATCTCAAAGTCTACGCCGCAGGCCTCGGGAGGGGGAGAAAAGGCCACATCTTACCCAAGGCTCCCGCCACCATCACTCCCCTTCCTTCCTCCCCCTTCCCTCCTCTTGGGCAGGGATGCTTGCCCCATTGTGGTCTCACGACCCTGGCGACCAAGCCTTCTTCCTCTCCAAAGCCCCGAACTTGGCAGAGGCTTGGTCATGGTAGTGCAAGGGGCAAGGGGAGTCCCCATCCCCAGATCCATGCAGGTCCAGAGAGCAGGAGGCAGGGTCACGCGTGCACCACCATACACACCCCACTTCCATGGAGACACTGGCCTACCCTCGGCCCCACCCTGGCATCTCGACAGTTCACCCTCTGGCTCAGCTGTGCCTCCAGGCTCCTGCTGGCCCCTGTCCTGCCCTGGGAGCCCTCAGAGCTGTTCCTCCCATACCTTCCCTGTGTCCTCTGGTCCTGGCTGCAGTGTGACAGAGCATGGAAGATTCTGGGGTATCTGTGGCAGAGGAAAGAGAAGACTTCAGTCCTTCCAGGAAACCCCCAGATCTTCCTCCAAATCTCAACTTGCGAGGCTGGAGAGGTCGGGCGCGGTGGCTCACGCCTGTAATCCCAGCACTTGGGAAGGCCGAGGTGGGCGGATCACCTGAGGTCAGGGGTTCTAGACCAGCCTGACCAACATGGCAAAACCCTATCTCTATCAAAAATACAAAATGAGTCGTGTGTGGTGGCGCACGCCTGTAATTCCAGCTACTCAGGAGGCTGAGGCATAAGAATCGCTTGAACCCAGGAGGCAGAGCTTGCAATGAGCCAAGATTGTGCCACTGCACTCCAGCCTGGGCGACAGAATGAGACTTTGTCTCAAAAAAAAAAAGAAAAAGAGGCTGGAGAAAGGACTCCTGGGGATGAGAAAGGAGGAAGGAAGGGACCCAGAGAGAAGGCAGATAATCAAGGGCTTCCTGAATGCATGGGGACCCTGAAGGGAGGTGGATCTAGGGTCCCTGCCTCACTGTTTCTTCCAGATCTGCCCATAGCAGTGCCTTACCCCCACCCCAGACACAGTCCCAGCCCAGCCCCCTGGCCCTCAGAGGGCAGGGGCATCCTCACGGTGAAGAAGAAGGGGTGTGCATGCTGGCCAAGCTTCCTCAGCAGCCGGTCCTGCAGACGGGTGGCGGGCCGGGGCGGGTTGGGCACCGGGGGGAAGGCCTGGTAAGTGGCGATGAACAGGTCTTTACGGAAGGACAAGCCCAGCACATCCAGGTCTTCACGGCCATAGCGGAAGGCGCAGGTGAGGGTCACAAACACTGGCAAGGGAGGGTAAGATGTGTGATCAAGAGCCCCGCTTCCCCAGTCCCCCAGCACCTAGCAGCCGCTGCTCCTCCCTCAGCAGCATAAGACTTGCCTGAACCCTACTCCTGGCTTCCACCTCCAGCCTCCATCTCTCTGGGGTGCCCTTCCAAGGCCAGCCCATTTCACTTCCCTAGCCCCCACTTCCCCTGAGCCCCCTGGACTTGGGGCCAGTACCTTTGCGGTCCTTCAGGTAGTCAGGGTCCACAAGCACCACGCCATCTAGGAGGGGGACACACCAGCTCACTTCCGGAAAGAGCCGCCGCCCCCTTTCCTGGGCCCGGGAACTTCTTCCCCTCTTGGGGAACGAGCTGCTCCTTTCTGAGAACACTTACCTACAGGGTCCACCTTGTCCAGGTGATCTACGAAGTCCCGCTTGCCCAAGTACACGGTGAGCTGAGGATGTCAAGGGGTCACAGGGGAGATTGGGGAGGATGGTGACAGGGCATCGGAGCCCTCAAAACTGGCTGCCCTGCCCGGGGATCTCCAGGCTGGGCTATCAGGAAAGAGTTTCTCCAGCTTTCCTCTCAACAGTGTTGGAAAGTGAGGGTGGCGGCGTTTCTCAGACTAGTGGACCTTAACGCTTTTTAGCTGCTCCCTAATCTCTGCACACCTCTGCCCACCAGCCCGGGGTGTGTGTGTGTGTGTGTGTGTGTGTGTGTGTGTGTCCTCAGCCCAACCAGTCAGGTGTGTGTCTGTGTGTGTGTGTGGCCTCAGCCCACCCAGTCAGGTGTGCATGTGAACATGTATGTGCATGTGTGTCTGTGTGTGTATGTGTCTGCATCCTCAGGGAGGACTCAGCCCAACCAGCGAGGTGTGTTTGTGTGTGTCTGTGTGTGTGTGCATTTGCATCCTCAACCAGCCAGAGGGGTGTGTGTGTGTGTGTATTTGTGTCTGTGTGTGTCCGTGTGTCTATGTGTGTGTGTCTTTGGATCCTCAGGGAGAACTCAGTCCTACTAGCCAGCTAGAGAGCAGCTGCCACCCTCACGAGGTCCCCTCAAGGGGCTCTAGGATCAATAGGCCATAGCCTGGGTGGGGGCTGTTAACTTTTCCCAGCCCCACGCACCTTGGGTTGGGCCCTAGGAGGGCTACAGGCACATGGCTTGCTTCTGGCCACCTCCTCTGTGATCTGCTTGGGGACCCGGGCCTGCCCCACCCAGCCTGTGGCTGGCTCAGGCTGAGCAGCCTCTGCGGCAAGGGGCTTCAGGAGGGAAGGAAGTCGGCTCTTAGCTGTCACAGGAAGTGGGGAGCTAGGGGTTGGGGATCATCTTTGGGCAGGTTGGGGATCGTCTAGGGGAAGGCTGGGCTTTGCTGGGGCCCAGGGAGGGTTGAAAGGGTAAGTGCTGTGGAGACTCACCTTGCAGTTAGGGCTCGACTTCTTGAAGACCCTAACAAAACAGAAAGGGAAACCCCACTGCCTCCCTCAGACTCAGCAGGGACCCCACACCAGGACCCTCTCCCTCCCAGGCCTCCTGCCTGAGGCTGCAGGGCTTTGCCCAGCTCTGCCCCTTTCCCCTTCTTCCCGGAAGGTCCTTCCTATTTCTAACATGGCGGCAAGGGGAAATGCCCCTTCTCTTGTCCACCCTCCTTCGTCCCCGTCCCTCCCTAGTAATGGCCACTGGTTGCCCTAGGAACCACCCAGGCTCTTCCCAGAGGACCAGAATGGGCAGGTTGCCGCAGTACCTGGGTAAGACCTAACCATCTTTCCATCTGGTCTACAGCTCTGACCGCTGGAGCACAGAGGAGAGCAATGACCCTGGCCTTTGGCCCTAGATGGTTTCTACCATAGGCCCTACCCAAGTTTGACTCTACTCACCTCCAATGTCCCCAACTCCGACCTCAACAGCTTAAAAGCCTATTTGAACGCCCAGTTTTTAGGAAGCTGACTCAGCCCAACTCTGGTCACTCCTTGTTTTGGGTTCCTGTCACACCTTGTTGATGTTTTACTTGTGGTGTGGTAGCACACACAGACAGTTAGCTGCCTCCCTCCTCAGACTGTGAGCCTCGGAGGCCTGATTCATTTACGCATCTCCAGCACAGTGCCACCCAGATCATGAAGATGCTAATGCTGCTAACATTCAGAGTGACTTCTCCATGCCCAGCACTGTTCCACGTGTTTCAAATGTGTCATCTCTTGTAATACTCTGTTGTTTGAGATGGAGTCTCACTCTGTTGCCCAGGCTGGAGTGCAGTGGTGCAATCTCGGCTCACTGCAACCTCCGCTTCCCAGGTTTAAGTGATTCTCCTGCTTCAGCCTCCCAAGCAGCTAGGATTATAGGCGTGAGCCACTACGCCCAGGTATGTTTTGTATTTTTTTTTTTTTTTCAAGACGGAGTCTCGCTCTATCACCAAGGCTGGAGTGCAGTGGCATGCTGTCAGCTCACTGCAACCTCCACCTCCTGGGTTCAAGCGATTCTCATGCCTCAGCCTCCTGAGTAGGTGGGATTAGAGGTGCCTGCCATCATTTATTTTTTTGAGATGGAGTCTTGCTCTGTCACCCAGGCTGGAGTGCAGTGGCGCAATTTTGGCTCACTGCAACCTCTGCCTCCCAGGTTCATGCCATTCTCCTGCCTCAGCCTCCCGAGTAGCTGGGACTACAGGTGCCTACCACCACGCCCGGCTAATTTTTTGTATTTTTAGTAGAGACGGGGTTTCACCGTGTTAGCCAGGACAGTCTTGATCTCCTGACCTCGTGATCCGCCTGTCTCGGCCTCCCAAAGTGCTGGGATTACAGGTGTGAGCCACTGTGCCTGGCTGCTAATTTTTATATTTTTAGTATAGATGGGGTTTCCCTATGTTGGCCAGGCTGATCTCGAACTCCTGACCTCAAGTGATCCGCCCGCCTCAGCCTCCCAAAGGGCTGGGATTACGGGCTTAAGCCACTGCGTCTGGCCTGTATTTTGTAGTTTTTTAGTAGAGACAAGGTTTCCCCAAGTTGGCCAGGCTGATCTCCAACTCCTGACCTCAGGTGATACACCCGCCTCAGCCTCCCAAAGTGCTGGGATTACAGGCGTGAGCCACCACGCCCGGCCTTAGGTTGCAGTGAGCCAAGATTGCGTCACTGCACTCCAGCCTGGGTGACAGAGCAAGACTCCGTCTCAAAAAAATAAAATAAAATAAAATAAAATAAAACTACCCAGTGATGGAGGTCCTAATGTCTCTATTTTCCAGGTGAGGAAACTGAGGCAGAGAGAGGTTAAGTGTTTTAAGGTCACAGAGAGAGTAAATGGTGGGAATTAATAGAAACCAAGGCCGTCTGGCTCCGAGTCCATCCTCTCAATCAATATTACACTATCCGTCTCTGTAGTTGGCATCAATAGTTTGTTCAATTGAAGGGTATTCGCTTTCCAGTTGCTGAAACAATTTAAGCCTGGACTCCACCCATTGCTGGGAGGGTAAGGAAGTGTTTGGCAATTCCAGTGATCTGGCCAATTGTGAGCCTATTCTTTGAAGCATCACCTTACTCCTTCCAATCCACTCTGCCTCAGCAGTGATCCCTGGAAAGGATCCTCAGATAGACAGCAGAACGTGAAATCCTGCCAACTAGCCCATCCCTCCTCCAACTCTACCAGCCCATTCCCAGAGGATCCCAATGGGCAGGCTGCCGCAGTATCTGGGTAAGACTTAACCATCTTTCCATCTGGTCTACAGCTCTGACAGCTGGAGCATATAGGAGAGCAATGACTCTGGCCTTTGGCCCTAAATGGTTTCTACCATAGGCCCAGTTTCTGCTACAACTTCACTTGTCCCTTCTTCCCAGAAAGCCAAGCTGTCCAAAGATTATAAGGTAAAGGGTATGGAGGCCCCCAGGTATTCCTAACCAATAAAAGAGAATAAACATCGATACGGTGGCAGCTAGAATAAACATCCTATCTTTTGTCCCAACTTGGGGGCTGAGTGCTGTGGCATCATCCAGGCTCTCCCTCCCCTTTGCTTCTGGTTTTCCTCTTTGTCCCAGGGTGTCCTCCCATTAGGAGCCCTGGCACAGGGCTGTGACAGCCACAGTCAGTGGGCCAACTGGAGTGTGGCTCTGGGGCAACTGCCCTGGAGCAGCTGCAAGGCATCTGCCCTTTGGATCCCAACCCAGCCACCTCCTGCCAGGCTGAGGAGGAGCAGCGTGCAGATACTAGGCTGGCCAAGGAGGCAGAGTGTGGGGATGACCAGGGAGGTGCCCAATGGGGGCAGGGGTAGCTGAAGCAGATGTCCTTTCACACTTCCTGCTATTCTCTCCATTTCCTGTGGCCCAGAATTTGATGGAGGTGAGGGAAATTGGGTCAAGTCAGCAGTCCCCTTTGGTCCATCTGTCCCACTCCTTGAACCACATAACGGAAATCAGGGGCCTCCCACAAGTCAGCAACTTCCCCTTTCTCTGGGATGTTTAAACCCTAATCCAGGACACCGATCATCTCTCTGATGATCTCTTTCTGATACTCATCTACTTGACGCTCAGAAACCTGGGTTCTCCTACTCTATAGGTTGGAAGTGGGGTCGATATGATGCTTTGCAGAGCAAGCCAGAGGTCAGGACCAATTCCCTATTCCCGATCCCCTCTGGGTTGAGGCCTGCAGCCCCAACCTTTCTGTCTTTTGCTCCTGCTCCCCTGGGACTCAGGCATTCACCCCTTACCCCTTGGGGGTGTTGAGTCACAACAGGAAGTGGATTTTGCTAGAGACCAAAAAAGAGAACTCGGGGTATCAGTGGAAGGAAAGAGCCTCGATTGCACAGAAAACATCCGGGGAGTGGACGCGCGCCCAGCGTGAATACTGCCTCCCCCACCCCCAGGGATAGGGATCCGATCTAGTTTCAGGAAGGGTCGGGCTCTCCCAAGATGAAGCTGTTGCTCCTGGCAACCCAGGGGAAGGTAGAAGTTTGGATGAGGAGCCACCCGGCCCTCGGGACAGGTGTGGGCAGCGCGACTACCTGGGGGATATTGGACAGGAGGCTTTGCATTGGCTTGGCACGAGTCTGGAGGGGATCCCCCTCCCAGCATCCAGCCTCCCCGTACACGACCCCTCGGGGCCAGCCACCTGCTCCTCCCTCCGTCCCTGCATCGCAGCCTGCCTAGACTCCTGGGCACGGGAGAGCCCAGTAGTCTGGCCCCACATCCCTGAGAGAACCCCGACACCGGTTTTTGTGATCCCCCTCCGGCCTCGCTTTCTGCAGGGGCCCGGCATTTCCCCCCAACCTCATTATCCTCGAGGACCTGCGCGTGCGGCCCCGGATGGCTGTCCCTAGGGACCCAGGCGTCCGGCCCCCAGATCCTCTCCGCTGCGTCCTCGTCTGGG